CTGGCGGGCAGCATCTCAAAGGACGCCCAGTCTTCAGTGTTGGCGACCCACACAGGGTGTGGGCCGCCTTAGGAAAGTTGCACATCTCAAATTTCAGAATCTGGCCTGGAAACGGCCTGGGGAGGACTTGCTGTTTGCCATCTCCCAGAGCCTCTCAGCCCAGGAAGGGGGGCCAAATCAACACCGTGAGCGCGGAGCTCTCAAGCCAGCCATATCTTGGTCAGAAAAGGCCACCATTTGACACATCAACTTGTCCACCCAACAGGTATGGCAGGGACAGCTTGAAGTAAAACAATGTTAAATCACCCCATATGTTGACTTACGTCTGGTCTTGGAGACCCCACACCAGCCCAGCTTTTTGGGCAAGGGCAGCCACGGCTAGCGTCTGAGGCTGCTTGTTGAAACATGTTGAAACCATGAGTTGCATACAGGGGTGTGTTTTTGGAGTTGGGGATAGCAACACAAACACCATAGCAAGGTGTTGAGTGCAACCATTGCTTGGACAAATTCGAGGGTTGTCCACAGCACTCTCCGGAATCATGCAAGTGATTTAGTTGAGCTCACGCTAGAACCCAGCAATGGGCGCAGGGCGCAGAACTACCATCCGCATTTGCGACCAGCAAATGTCCGATGTCCGAGATTCGGAGATGACCATGATGAGGGGTCTTCGATCGGGTACATAAGTAGCTCTCAATACCTTTGCCGGGACCTTTAAAGTGATCTCTGAAAAAAAAGGCCGAATGTCTTAAGACGTCGCTGTGAAGTTCCTTTAAGGTACTGGGGATTGGCGTGGCTTTGAACTCGGCCCTCAGGGCATCTCTTACACCCCCCAGTCTTCAGTGTTGGCGACTCTCGTGCTGAGAGCCGCCTCATCTGATCCTTGGTTGGCATCACCGGCAGCAATCAGTTATATCTCACCAACCAAACTTCTATGAAAATCCCAGACCAAACACTAAGGTAACTATCAAGATGAAACCAAGAAACTGCGCTGTGTCCATATGTTGTGTCTTGTCTTGCGGGTACCGGAACTGGGTGAACTCTACACCAAGAAGCATCATCATAATACTGTAATATGACATGATACTATGACATCTCTCAACAGAGTACCGTTGCAATGGCTTGCACAAAAGCAAAGGGAGAAGGTTTGTCTGGCAAACTCCTACACAAAGTGGTTGAAACCTGTGACGGCTAACACTACAAGAACTTTGCTTTGAGCTTCATCCAGCGAGCAAACAACGACCCTTTCCCTTCTCTCCACAGCCTGGCGAAGAAAAACTCCTGTTTCCACACTCCCGGATCTCAGGCCCCCACCTGCTGGCGTGTCGCCTACAGCCTCAGCACATCTCAGCACCACGCATGACGCTGCATGACGCTGCATAGCAAAGGGCCTTCCACTGGATGACCCTTAAGAATCTGTTGATACCGTTTTCTTTGAAACACACCTGAAACCCCGATAAACCACCTTTAGTTTCAGCTCCAGAGTGCCTGGCACTTCCAAGATTCATTGGGCAAAAAGTTGCATTCGAGCTCCAAGCTCCAGAGTTCAAGGCGAATAATTGTGGTCAAAACCTGGTTCCAGAGTGGCAAACTTCCATCCAAGCTTGCAGGCTAAAGTTTGCAATCAAAACCTGATTCTTTTGCCAGATGCCGAAATGGGTTCCAAGGTGACACGAAACGGTGCGAATCGTTGCGATTGTAGTGCCCCGTCCAGGTGAACAGTTGCGATCAATGGTCACACGGCCCCTGTTCGGTGGTCCACGGCTTATGGGCGTTCTGAGAGCTGGTGAGAAACACGCCGAAGGGTTCAGTTTGATGGACATACTGCACAAAACCAAATTAAACCAGCATAGACCCAGATAGCTAGGCAGCATCCCACGACCTGTTGACATGCGACTGGCTGGAACAAGAATGTACACAGCCTGCACGCACAGCCAGCCAGCTTACGGCGCCTCCACAGCGCGCGCAGCCAGCCGACACCAGCACCGGTGCGCTTTGCCAGCTGACAACACCGGCGGCGGCACCAGCACCCGACCAGCACCGCCACCCGTCTTAAACGCGCGCTCAGCCACCAGCACCCAGGACCACAACACCAGCACCGGCACCGACACCCCTTCGAAGGCGCACGCCCAGCTCATTCCTATTTGCAGTAGGAACCCCATAGCTATCCCTAGTGTGATCTTGCGCGTATAAGTTTATGCGCACAAAAGTATGCGCGCAAACAGCAAAGCCCGTAAGTGTCATTGGCCCAAGGCCAAGCAGTATCCAGCGCCACGATTGCCTTTGTAGCATGCTTGAAGCAACGATCTTCAGAACGATCAGGCCGTATGATCTTGCGCGTATAAGTTTATGCGCACAAAAGAATGCGCACAAACGGCAAAGCCCGTAGGCTTCACTCGCCCAAGGCCAAGCAGTATCCAGCACGACTATTTTGTGTGTAGCAGGCTGAAACATGCTGAAACAATGGTCGGTTGAGAGCCTGACGTTGCGCATAGAACATTACGCGAACAAAAGTATGCGCGCAAACAGTACAGCCCTTGACACAGCCGTCCGCCAAAACAAAACCTGAAGAGTGTAAATACCCCACAGCTCTCATAGACAAAGAACGCTCAAGCGACAACACCCTATGATATTGCGCGCATAAGTTCATGTGGCCCATGACTGCTGGCGCTTCACTGACACTGTCAGAAGCGGCGGTTGGTCGGTGGCACTCAGCACCCGGCACCCTGTCTCCACCACGTGCACAGCCAGCGCCTGGCACCGGCACCCAGTCTCCACCACGCGCACTGCCACCTCACGGACCCATCGCCAGCACCACAGCCGCACAGCCAGCTCACAACACCAGCACCAGCGCCGGCACCCGGCACCCTCTCTCCCACGCGCACAGCCAGCTCACAGCACCAGTCAGCCCGCACCGCACCCAGCACCGGCACCCTGTCTCCACCACATGCACAGCCAGCTCACAGCACCAACGCCAGCACCAGCCGGCACCCGGCGCCCAACACCACCACCAGCAACCTGTCTCCACCACGTGCACAGCCAGCTCACAGCACCAGCACCGGCACCCGCACCCAGCACCAGCATGTCTCCACCACGTGCACAGCCAGCACCAGCACCAGGCACCCGGCACCCAGCACCAGCACCGGCACCAGCAACCTGTCTCCACCACGCGCACACCCACCGCACGGCGCCCTGCGCTCAGCACCAGCACCCGGCGCCGGAACACCCAGCACCAGCACCCGGCACCAGCACCAGCATGTCTCCACCACGTGCACCAGCGCCGGCACCCAGCACCAGCACCAGCAACCCGAAAGCGCGCACTGGCAACTCATTGTTATTTGAAGTAAGAACCCCATAGCTTCGCTATCTGGGGATAAATATATACAAATACAATCCCATATCTACTATGACAAGCAACTATTTTATAGGGGGTCGTTGCATGAAAGATGCGTCCGATGGGGTCGTTGTTTGCACGGCGTTTCCTTCTACACACGATTTGTGCACTTGAGAAGGGACAACCACCTGTTGTTGCTACTAGGGGCTCCTGGCCGTACTACTAGGAGCAAGGACGCTACTAAGACCTCGAGCTGAGGAAGGCAGGTAACGCGACGAACCTTTGCCCCGAAGAGGTGGAACCGAACCCTTTGCGGCTCCAACTCTCCTTCGCTTGGCCAAGCGGACATATGCCAGGTGCGAATACAACAATCTAGGCATAAACACCGACGGTGTCGGCTTGCCGCAACACACTTGGTAGAAAAGAAGCGTTCAAGATACAAGCAAACAGACGGAGAATGCCCAGTCATTCATGGAACACCATAGTTAGCAGTTGAAGGAAAAATGCACAAGAAAAAGAAACCCTCCACCACCCTCCTTTTCCACACTTGCAGTGGTCTTACATTTTTCATACTGGTTGAGTTTTACATGGTCTTTACAAGGTATGTTGCAGAAAATGCATAAGGCAAATGCATCACGAGACGAGAAAAAGGAAAGAGAAGAAAGGAAGGTGTTCCCAGCTACGACGCATGCGTTCAAGGACACACCAAAGGAAAAGAGGAGAAGGGTTCCAGCTATGACAAAAGCATCCATGGACACCCAAGGAGGAAGGAAGGTGAAGAGAGGAAAGAAAGAGAAAGAAAGAGAGAGGGAGAGAAAGGGAAAGAAAAGAAAGCTACGAACAATCGTCCAGGGACACACCACAGAAAGAAAGGGGTGATCCTGAGTATTCCATTCAGAAAGCACCAAAAAGCAAAGAAAGAAAGGGGAGGGGAAGGGGGACTAAGCTCGCGACAGGTTCCAATGAACCTTAAGCTTGCTTTGGCCGCTCTGGTCACCTTGCGCCCTGCCAAAGTGGTTGGCTGCTTTGACCGCTGCGGTCACGTAAAGGCATGTGCCAACTTGGAATTCCAAAGATGAAACAAAAATCCCACTTCTTGTGGCATAAGCCATCTGCTGTCCGCTCCGGACACCTACGTTCCCAAAGCCGGGGAACATGGACAGACACCCGTTCGACGGGTCCACGGGAGGCACTCTACGGGCTCATCCCGGGTTGGCACGAGGCCAACCACACTTATGGATATGCGTACTGACTCGACAGCGGTGCCACACGCCGGCCTGAGTGAAAAACCTAAGGAACCAGGACAGGTGTCAGTAAGTGGAGGCCCTTACTGCAAGGTTGGAGGCCAGCAAGACTCAAAACACGAAACGCGAGTAGCGATTAGTAACAAAACCACATGAACCACCATGAAAGCAAACCACAGCGAGAACAACAGGTAACCAGCTTGGCAGGTACGTTTGCACGGACCCCAGAGGAGGTCTTCGTTGGCCACCGCTCCTCTCCGGTCCCCCTGCTGAAAAAGAAGAAACAATTCAACGGAATACCTGCGATTACCAGGGGCACACACACACACCGTACCGGAGGCTCGTGGAAGATCCTCTTGCGCTTTGTGGTGCCCTGTTCCCTGCACACCCGCTGCAGCAAAGATGCTTGCACGCCAGCAGCTTGCTCACCATTGTTCCTCTCCTTGCTTGGAAGGAGCTGTAAGTCCATGGCTGAGACACGTCTGCCTAAGAGTCACTACAGTCAGCACCCCCAAACAAGACTGAAGCTAACAGTTGAAAAATGTCTCCCCTTTACGAACGTGGAAAGACCAACTGTTCCAACCAAACTGTCCAAGTTGGGAAGCACCATGGCCAAGCTCTGTCTTTTAAGAGAACAACTCGGTTTGGTAACACCAAAGAAAAGAAAGTCATTCGTAGATGAGACGCTAGCGGTAGGTAGTGTGAACTTATATATCGGAAAGGCATTCTGTTGCTCACCCTCCAAACCGTCTATGATTCACTGGGTGTTGAACCTGAGATTTAAAAAGTTGCAGCTGCCTCGCTGACTTTGGGACCCATCTGAATTTTTGCAGACCAACGCTTGCCTGGAAGTGAGGCCTTCCTGCTCCATCCACTTTGAGTTGGAATTGTTGGATTCTCCGCAAAATCCCAATCCCGATCCACTCCTTCACCCATCTTTTCCATTGCCCTTACACGGACCCTCAGTCCCACGTTTTGGCCACGATGCCCTCACTGTCATCATCATCATCCCGGATATCTGCCCACCGTTTCCGCGCCTGGGGCAAACGCATGACGCAAGGAGATCCCTCATGGAATTAAAATGAATCTGAACCCATGGGAATTAGCGGAAACTCTTCAACAAAGAACAAAGGTCTATTCGGCTATTCTTTGAGATCAGCCCAATAGGTTCACAACAAAAATCCGCCCGCACTGAAGGTGTCGAGGCGTTTTTTTAGAGCACGCGCTATACGTAAGCTAGCGTATGCAAGCCAATAGCTTTAGCTAGGGGGGCGCATTTTCGCTCTAGAATCGTGTGTTTTTCACGTTTTTGGAACCGGCTTAAAATGCTGGAAGATGAATTCGTGCTATTTTGAAGCCCCTGGTGATACAAGAAATGCCATTTTCTTCCTTTGCATGGTTTGAATCATCTGAGCGGTAAAGTGTAATTGGACTGAGGCCGGACATTTGGCTGAACAGGCTCCCCTAACGTGGCTCAACATAGCTTCCATATTGCCTAACATAGCCCTAGAAGTCACTATCCAACGGACGTGTCTGCGAGATAGGGACTTGAACGCAAAACATGGCCCAACGAGGGCTCAAAAGGGACTGGAATAAAGTGAAGAGATTGTCTAACATAGCCCTAGAAGTCACTATCTAAAGGACGTGTCCACGAGATAGGGACTTGAACGTCGTAAACATAGCCCAACGAGGGCTCAAAAGGGACTGGAATAAAGCCCCCCCCCAACGTGATCGAACATAGCTTCCATATTGCCTAACGTAGCTTTAGAAGTCACTATCTAGAGGACGTGTCCGCGAGATAGGGACTTGAATGTCCGGATATTTGGCTCCACACAACCAGAGATAAGCAGAGATCAGGTCCAGGAACGGTAACATTTTCTCGCGAGCATAGCTTCCAGATAGGGACTTCAACGTCGTAAACATGGCCCAACGAGGGCTCAAAAGGGACTGGAATAAAGTAAAGATATTGCCTAACATACCCCTAGAAGTCATGGGGACTTGAACGGGCATAGCTTCCATATTGTCGAAAATAGTGTTTTCTCGAAATAGGGACTTGAACGTCGCAAACATGGCCCCACGAGGGCTCGAAATGGACTGGAATAAATTAAAAATACGTCTCATTTGCCCCCAACATAGTCCAAGATAGCTTCAGGTAGGTGCACATGTGGCCACACCTGTCGTATAGCTGCGCGTTTTGTCAGGTAGCACAATCGAGCTCCGCCCAGGGGAGCTTGGGCGGTATTCAACGGGATCAAACCATCTACAATTCAACAGCCACAGCGTCGACCTTTCGCACATGCAAAACATGACCTGTTGCTCCGAATCAAAGCCAAAGGCTTCATTTGCGCATTGCACCGAGCACTGTGCTATGCTGCCCTGGCAGTGGTGGCAGGCCCTTCAACAGCCACGATTGCTTGAAAAGGCACTCTGACTACCGAATACAGAGCATTAACCCGATCTGCAGCGTCATCCCCTGCCCTGATGAGACCCATTCCAACATGGCTGCAGTCTTTGAGCCCAAGATTGCTTGAAGAAGCACTGTGACTAAAACGAACTCTACAACCTACACCTGTTTCGTGTCCAGCTTCTACCAAGATCAACCTTACACTACCCAACGCTGTTTCCATTGCATGTGTCCGAACATGTGATAATCTGCTATATTCCTTTCATACTGACTCCCTTGGCTCCAAGAGCACAAGAACCTGTTCCAGATCGTGTCACTTCCGGAAGCTCTCTAACCACTATACCCGACCCGCAAAATGGCTGCAGTCTTTTAACCCCACAACCACGATTACTTGAAAAAGCACTCTGACTCCAAGGAACTCTACCAACGGCACCTGTTCCGTGACCATAGTGACTTCTAGGGCCATGTTAGGCAATCTTGAATTTATTCCAGTCCATTTTGAGCCCTCGTTCAAGTCCCTATCTCGAGGAAGCATGCTTGAGATAGTGACTTCTGGGGCTATGTTCGACCATATGCAAGCTATGCTCGTGAGAAAATGTTACCGTTCCTGGAAATATGGAAGCTATATATGTTTGGTCACGTTAGGGGGGTCTTTATTCCAGTCCCTTTTGAGCCCTCGTTGGGCTATGTTTACGACGTTCACGTCCCTATCTCGCAGACACGTTCTTTAGATAGTGACTTTTAGAGCTATGTTAGGCAATATCTTTACTTTATTCCAGTCCCTTTTGAGCCCTCGTTAGAAAATGTTACCGTTCCTTATCTCTGCTCCTGTTGAGCCAAATATCCGGCGAACGTCTCGAGCTACCTGCGGAAAAGATACACCAGTTTGCGACGTTCCCACATTCTAGCGTTATGTTAGGCAATATGGAATCTATGTTCGGCCACGTTGGGGGGGGTGACTTCTGGGGCTATGTTCAATGGAAGTACCTACCTTGACCCGTTCCTGGAGCATGACCGCAGTCTTTGAGCCCTCCCATGCGGTGCGGGCGGTTACCGTCGCGAAGCGACGTGAATATCGAGTCGCATTGAAGAAACCCTGCTTTTTTGGTACCAGTAATAAACACAAGCTCTGAGATTCACGAACAGTTTTTTGCAAGAGGAACAACACAAACCGTACAAACCCATAAGTGAAGCGGCCGGCAATGGATTTTTCAGGCGCAGAACTGGATCACCATAGCACACCCTGCCCGCCCCCTTTCACGCGATGATTAAGCTACTGTCTTTGATGGATGATGACCAGCGACTGCAAAAGTTGGCATCCTAGCTCTGCCTCACCGGCTCCTTGCCGGGGCCACACGGTGGGTCGTGGGACATGATTGCATCAAAGCCACCGGCACGATCACTGGCGCGACGGTCGACAGCTCACCAGAGTCGCTGGTGGCAGCCTGAACTGGGCGAGCAATGGTCTACCAAAGGGTACACATTAAGAATAAGAGAATAGGATGCAGCAGTATATATGTCTTTTGTTTGCCCTTCAAGTATTCTTCCTGACATTCACAAACATTGACTAATGACTCTGACCGAACCACGTCTGACGGCCTCGGAAAATTCTTCGTCTTCACCACTGCCACTTAGTTCACTGGTTGGTTCACCATTCACCTGTCTCTGCGAATTGCTTCGGGTCTTGTGGTTGAGGCAATGTTTGCTCCCAAATTGTATGAATGTCTTCTTCACAAGTGATTCCCTCAAACAAAAAAGGAAGCCCGTGAGCAAGAAACCCAATGTAGGATGGAATCATGCTCCTCACACAGCTGATGCTCAATGTAGGATGGAATCATGCTCCTCACACAGCTGATGCTCAATATGGACGCCATGCGTACCCCTGAATTACCCTGCCTCGATGATCTTCAGTGGGAAATCGTGAGGCGCCGGTATGTGTGCCAGCTCGCCCACTTGACCATGTTCTTTCCAAGGGATTTCTTGGCCAACGCACGTTGTCACAACAAATGCTGCCATCTCCTTTCCACTCACCGCATCTTGTAGGCGGGTTGCCCAATCAAGGCCCCACCGTATCTTGGTAACAGGGCACACATGAAAAGGAATCAAGAAACTAACGGTCTGCTTGTCAGCAATGGTGATTGTAGGAATCTATGTGGAATGGTTACAGCAAACGTCCTTCCTATTGAAACAAATTGGCTAGAAACAAATTGGCTAAGCAGGGGCTTCTTTATGTATTTTACAGGATCAGCTTGGTTTCCTAACTAACCCTGTCTAGCCGTTAAGCGTCCTTTTTACTCTACCCTTGAGAGTACACGCTACGGGGTCCATAGGGGTGAGAGGAATTTCAACACCCCCCTTTACAAGGAGCTATCCGTAGGGAAAATCTCGGGGAGGATCGAATTCTAGCGACGAAGGAATCATATTAGAAATCCCTCATCAAGCTCGTGCATGCACTATACATGGAGAACGTAGCTACCCTAATGTACAACCTTGCGGCTCACTCGGCATGTGGTTAAACATGCTTGACCCAGACTTAGATAGAGTATTGATTAAAAGTTCACTCTCCGACTACAGCAATCCTATTAGGGATGCATTAAGAAGTGAGACAATGAAGTGAAACATCATCTCACAGCGCGTCAGAAGGTGATTTTTACCTCAACACTCATAAGCTGTTGTCATACCATTTACGGTAGCAGTTCAACGTTGCTTCAATAATGTTTATATCCAAAACGCTCCGTTTCATCGTGCCAACCCTGTTGCATCCACTGACGGAGTTCCATGTGATTAGGCCAATAGTTTTCAGCCCATGGGTCTGTGCGTTGCCATTGTATTCCAGGGAAGTCAAAGGGTTCCAATGGTCGATCATCCGTCCCATACACTGTTGGCTGCCCAGCTACGGGAGCATTGGATGATGGCGCTGCTGCCGAAGGAGCTCGAGTAGGTAGCGGCGGTGGTGGCACATTCTGTAAATTCCATTGCTGTGGATCATAAGGTCCTCCTCGTTGGCTCACCTGCTGCTTGCTTTTGCCCTTTCCTTTTACGGAAGGTTGCAATCGGCTATACAGATCTGCAAGTGGCGGCGGCTTCGGTGTCAAATTAAAATCTGGCGGCCGAGTGTTTGCCGGAATACCGCTGACATTGCTCGAAATATCTGGAGGTGGAACCTTCGGAGGAGGCACCTTGGGCGGCGGAACCTTCGGTGGTGAAGGTTTTGCTGGTGGCTGTGAAGGGGCTGCCTTCACTGGCGCAGGTGGCGGACCTAACAGGTCTTTTGGAATGTTGCCACGACTTGGCATTGCACGGGCGACTGAACCGCGTGGCGTCCCTTTTAGGGGAGCATTCGTTCCTTTGATAGGGGAACTGCCCTGGCCTTTTCCTTTGGCTGCAATGCTCTGCTCCGCACTGACATTCCTTTTAGGGAAGTCTTCCTTTGGTGAAGCTTCTTCTCGACCATGAGGATGAGGTAGCCTGTACACCGATGATGTATGCGTCCCAGTTACGGGAGCAGGTGGACGAGGCACTCCTGGTGGGGGAACTCTCTCGTCAACCCATGACGCGATGCGGCCGGACTGGCCGCGTTCCTCCTTCTTCCTCCACTGCAATCTTGGTCGCTTGTCACCGTCGGCAACGCCCTCGATGTACGATTGCGATCGCTTTCGAGTCAATGGTGGCCTAGTTACAGGCACTTGTGGAGAAGGTGCTTCGCGCTGCCCAAATTCCAACAAAAGTTGTTCCAGTCTATGAACCTCGTAGGAGGTCATGTCCTGCCCACAATCGGCAAACTTTGGCAATGGCGTCGCCATGCGTTGCTCCAAATTCATAAAGCGTAAATTTTGAATAGATTGGCCTCTGTCACGCGCTTGCATATTCGCAGACTGCGTAGCGTTGCGCTGATACTGTACATTGGCGGGGTCCTCATTGTGTTCCGCGAACTCGCTCAAGATCTTGTAAATGCCCATCGTGTCTCCACGAGGAATGCGGATTGAATGAATATCGCCATATACGTCCTCGGTCGGGATGAAACCCTGAATTTTAATCTCGTCTCGGCTGTTGCCAATTACGGCAGCAAATTGTCGAAGAGATAGAAATTCACGACGGTAGCTGATCAGAAAGTTCTCGTCAAGGCCTTGCTTGAAACAGGTATGTAAGTTGTCGACGCCGCATCGAATGTACGCGAGCTTGGCGAGATCAACTCTGTCTTGACGATCCAAGTCACTGACAACCGATTTCCCTTTTGATCTCTGCTTTGCGGATCGTGAGGGTGCTGGTAGTTGCAGTGACGCATACAAGTCTTCCTGCGCCGCATCAAATGCAGTGCAACCCTCTCCGGTTAAGGAGGTCGCGAAGACATCGTCGCGGTTGAATCGGTCGTAGACATTCTCATACCCTTCTTTCAACGCTCTTCGAAGACGGCCTCGAGCTGCGAGAATAATCTGACTATCGACTGATGGGCTGCCCCGTGCGGGAGGACGACCAGGCTGCATATTATCCTGCGCGGCAACGCTGCCAAGCATGCTGGTGGCAGCAATGTTCGCCGGAATACCCCCCTGCTGTTGCACGGCCTTCGCACGCCTCATCTGCAACCTCATAAATTTGGAAACAGGACCATCTGTGACATTGCCTTGAAACACTGCTCCACACCTGTGACAAGACGCCATTCCGGCTAAGGAAAGCGTGGCGCATTTGTCACAACTAAACGTTCGAAGGTGGAGAAAATATCCACTCTCGATCTGCGGTACAGCCGTCTCCTTGTTCGCCTCCATAGACTCCTTCTTGACTGCACTGCTCGCGGCTGTTCGCTCTTCAGGTGTGGCTTCAATTGTATCTTGTTGTTGTTTCACTTCGTCAATATCACCTGGAATCAATGTAACGTCATCCTGCGGTGTCCCAACGTCCATATTCGCCGGGTCAATAGCCTGAGGCCTTGAGTAGAACACTTCTGGCTCCGCATTTACACGGGCACGTGTGGCGAAGAGGATACACGTGTTGGGAACATGATGACTTGTGATCATTGCGTTCGAATTTGTCAAAAATAGGTCAAAGCCTGCATCAATGATTTCGGCCGTAGAGAAGCAAAGCTCAACGGGTCGATTCGCGCGCACGCCCGACATCGCCTTCTGGTCTCCCAGAGGTAGTATTGAAAAATACGAATTTCCTTTGCTTTTCGGCCCACCGGTACCTCCTCCAGGGAGGAGGCCATTCGCAATTATACATCGCGCGGCATCTTCATGCGTCCGGTGATAGAGGCGTGGTGGAATGTCTCTATTGCCGTGTGCGGTGAAGCGACGGTTATACCGATGCATGTGGTCAGGACGGCAGTAGATAGTCTTCGCCAAAACTTCGTTTGACCTTGTCTCGAGAGCGTCGTCTGTATGTCCTTGGCCACATCTCACCTTCACAGGCGCTACCCAAAGTTCAAGGGCCTCATTCACGCGGGAATCGCAAACACAAAGGAACTCAATTCTGTCCTTTTCGTCGTATATAGCCATGGAAATAAGTTCAAATAAATTAATTGAATCAGCGTAGTCCGGAAATTTCGCTTGAGCCAATTGTAACAATTTGTAAACTGGCAAATAGCACGCCGGGTCATAAATTCCAATGTCTCGAACATGTCCTCGCAACAAACCTGAAATGCCACGGCGAACGTGGTACGGCCAAGAGCAACACCATTCCCATGGAATGCCATGGTTGTCCTCATACTCGTAGTAGTATCGATGGCCGGTGACATGATGCAAGGTATATTGTTTGGCGTTGCGGCCTAGTTCTTCTTCAAGAAGCTGAATTCCGCCATTGCCGATGGCCTTCAACAGGTGATCCGGATAAGGATACTTGTTCAGGACTTCTTCGATTTCAACTTTCATATTCTTGTACTCGGGGTTGGGCTTGATCTCGCGAACGAGTGCACCCTTCCCTTTTCCAGAATATTTCAAGTTGAGATCGACGTCGTCGTCAGGCTCCAAGAAGCTCCCCGTTACGGGAGCAGCTGCAGGAGTACCCTGCCCCTGTCCTTTGCCTCGTAATCGTGGCAATGGTGGCTTCGAAGCTGAAGACGACGATGTACCTGCAACGGGTTGATTGCTTTCCTCGGTGGCCGTCGGGTCATCCGCCAAAACTTCGAGTACATTGGCTTCAATCTTTGCCATGTGTTGATCGGGCTCGGGCGCGGTTGGCAAGGCATTCACGCCTGCTGGATTGGTATCTGGCCCGGGCACATCATCAGTCCCACCAGTATAGCTGTCCGTCATCTCCACATCTGCATCGATGGTCTCAACTTTCGGCTCGGCATTTACGCCGGCTGTAGTCTGATCATCTACTGGTTTGTTGAGTGCAGTTTGCTCCTCCGGAAGCTCGACGGTGGGGACAAGGTTGATGAACTGCAACACGTCTTGCGGGTCTTCGCCTTCCAGTTTAACGGAGGCTTTCAGCTCCTCGACCGAAATATCATTCGACTCAAAAGGACTGAACGCTTGTACTTCTTCGACTGTAAATTGTCTGCTCTGGCCCGCAGTGTGTTGAAAACGCTTCATTCGCTGCGCAGCAAATTCATTGAGAAGTTGCACACAAGAATCAGGAACCTTGACGGTCTCGTCGGTGTCCCAGTTGTGGCGAAATCTTCTAACCCGATTCAATGCGGCAATTCCCTCTCGGGAAGCTTCGACGACGTTCGCGTGGTAGGACAACTTGACAATCGAGGTGACGTAGCTAACGAAACGATCGATGTTCTCCTGGGTTTTTCTGAGGTGCCAGTTGTCTACACGATCCGATTGGAAGATGAGATTGTCCGGCTGGAATCTGTGGATTCCGAGGCCTTCAATGATTTCGATGATCTCCTTCCAAAAGTCGTCGACATAATTCGGTAGCTCATATAAATATGATGAAATTCCACAAATACAGCAAAGTTCGTCCGACGCCTCCTTGCATTCGGCCAACAGTTTAACGTTGCCAAGAATTCGTGCCTGCGTGCCGAGGCGGTCGGGATTTGCGGCTTCAAATCGCCATGAATGATCATATGATGT